GTTGAAGTCACTTGTTTCCATCAGATTCTGTTGGCCAAAGTAGCCAGATGATGATTTTAAATACATTATAGGTTCTATTGTAGCCATATATCAGTATAGTTAACTTGGCCTCTTGTTGTTGAGGTAGAATTTGTTGTTTAAAAACAGACATCAGTGGATTTGAAAGGGTATTTTGTGACAATGTGTGGTTTACTAAATATTTTTCCCACTGGAAATGGTGAAAGCAAATGAACTGGTTGGTATGTGGGGTGGGCAGTCATTGTTGGTTTGTTCGACATGCTGTGTTGAAATCACTTTTGTAATGATCCTTGGACTTTTTATTGAATTGCCTTATCCTCTCCCTGATTGATTTACTGTAAATCTTGCCAGCAATGTGGGAAAACAATTTATTGACTGACTTTAAATCGCCCTTCACTTGCCTCTCACTTGTTCTGAGGCAAGGCTCATGTGGATGTTGTAGTTGGTGATGTATGCTGGTGGTGATGGAGTTTTAGATATCAGAATAATGCCTTGATGCCTTTTTGTTGTCTTCCCTTTGGGAGACTTACAATGTATATATTAAACTGTATTTATAAATAAACTAAATAAACAGTTGATAATTACTGCTACCTGTTTTCTCTGATTCATTTCTTTGATTATTATTTGTCTTCAGATTGAAGATGTTGTAGCGAAATATAAAATTCCTGCAGATACTTTAAGCCTTAAAAGGATCTTTCATAAGTCTTAAAAATACTCAGAAATTGGAAATAGGATTTTATAAAGTTGCTAACCAGCTGGACATCGTGTTAATCAACAAACAACAGAAGAAGGCAGTGGTGACAAATGTAGCAATCCCAAGCGACAGCAACATCAGGAAGAAGGAACATGAGAAGCTTGAAAAATACCAAGGGCTGTAAGAGGAAGTAGAAAATATGTGGGGAGTAAAGTCAACAGTGGTGCCAGAGGTAATTGGAGCACTGGGTGCTGTAACCCTCAAACTGGGAGAGTGGCTCCAGCAGACTCCAGGTACAACATCTGAGGTCTCTGTCCAGAAGAGCGCAGTCCTAGGAACAGCTAAGGTACAGCAAAGAAAACTCCCAGGCTGCTGGTAGAGGTTTTAGGAACTCAGTATAGTCTGTGTGGATTACTTGTCTCAAGGATTACATCAGATTTTCTTTTAAATCATTTCATCATGGGACATAATGTGCAATTTTATGGCATAATTATGAATATTCTGCGACCATGCACTCTTACACAACCTATCCTTCAGATATGATATTGTACATACGCAACCCCACCTACAGTGATCCCTACTGTTGTATTATTATGATCCACAGCACCTACTGTTGACCTGATTTTGGCACTGTGTATATTGTACATACAGTATTTTGGATTTTCACCTTATTGTCATACTTCATTTGCACCCTTCCCACTTTATATTGCAGCTGCTGCACAGCGATTTTTCTTTGAGTAAATAAAGTTTTATCTTATCTTATGTAATTAAGCTACACATTCTTCATGTTGTTACTTTCCTCTTGCACAACTGCATACTCTCCATTTTAGTAGCCTACAGCCAGAGCAGAGGATCATAAGTGTTCTCTAAGGAAGACATTTTACCACGTCCCAGTAAGAAAAGCACAGATGAAATAAGGAAACTGAGTAAGAGATTCAGTGCACATTTTATTAGTAATACTTGGTTTTCCCCTACTGTGACAAGTTAAAAATGTTTGAAGAAATATAAAGAAATATGCTATGTGACAGAAGGCATCGATGCACTGCTGTCTGAAATAATCATTAGCAAATGTAATTTTAACCATAAATAAACTTAACAAATGTCTGCTATTATTACTACTGGTTCAAGTGTTACTGCAGTTCTGCATGTGGTTTGTGCAAGTGGCGTTGCCGTACCCCAGCAGAAGCCATGGTTTCGGTACAATCAATGTCAAACACTCTACTGTCTTTCTATTCCATTACTTTCAAATCCAATAAACAGTGGGAAATGTAGTGTAATGTAGGCTACATCATTGTTGATTGTTATATTTTTTGTTAAGTGTTGGTATGTCATAAAAATGTCATTAAAAAGTCATAGTATAGTATGTCATAACCATTAATTTAAGAGTCATAGTTTAGTCAGATAGTTTAGTTTAGAATGAGATCGTGAATACAAGCGGCTGAAATGAGTTTCCTCCGTGGGGTGGCTGGGCTCAGCCTTAGAGATAGGGTAAGGAGCTTGGACATCTGAAGGGAGCTCGGAGTCGCGCCGCTGCTCCTTCATGTCCAAAGGGGTCAGTTGAGGTGGTTTGAACATCTGATCAGGATCAGGATCCCGTTAGAGATGCCCAACTGGTAGGAGGCCCTGGGGCAGACCCAGAACACGCTGGAGGGATTACATATCTCATCTGGCCTGGGAACGCCTCAGGGTCCCCAAGGAGGAGCTGGAAAGTGTTGCTGGGGAGAGGGACTTCTGGGGAGCTTTGCTTGGCCTGCTGCCCCCACGACCCGGCCTTGGATAAGCGAATGAGAATGGATGGATGGATAGTTTAGTAATAGCTTAAGTTTCCGGAGTTTCCGAGCATACTGCAAGGACGTCACTCAAGCCAGATTTAGTCTTAACATCTGACTCCACAATGCAAGTACTGTTGCTGGGACTTAAAGTCCCCTGGGCAGACTGAATGGAGAAGGCCCGTGAGCGAAAGAAGGCCAAATACCTTGAGCTGTTAGAGGCCTGTAGAGAGAGCGGTTGGGAGGCCGGCAGTGAGCCAGTGGAGGTGTGCTGCAAGGGTTTCCCAGGGCAATCTGTGCACTGGGCACTCAGGCTCCCGGAGAGGAAAGCCATAAGAAACACCAGTGAGGCTGCAAAAAAAGCCTCAAGGTGGCTGTGGATCAAAAGGGCAGATCTATGGTGTAGCACGCTGCTTGATCACTAGCTCCTGACTGATCACCCAAGGCTGGGTTGCCAAGGTGAGGGTGTCTGATGACCCAAGACCCGAAACACCCTAACCCTATGACCCTGGGATAGTCACTGAGGATGTGTCGAGGCCTTATCATCTAGGTGTTTCAAGTAACTAACTGTCATTAAAAAGTCATTAAGCAGTCATAGTATAGTACAGTGCACAGTGGTACAGTGGTTACCATTGTCACCTCACAGCAAGAGGGTTCCTGGTTCAAAACCAGGGTGGGGGGGGGCCTTCTGTGTGGAGTTTACATGTTCTCCCCATGTCAGAGTGGGTTTTCTCTGGCTCCCTCCCACAATCCCAAAATAGGCTGGTTAATTGGTGACTCTAAACTGGCCGTAGGTGTGAATGTGAGTGTGAATGGTTGTCTGTCTCTATGTGTCAACCCTGTGATAGTCTCGCTCAGCAGGTCAGCCCAGAAAGGTCTGGCTGGGCTGACTCTCACTTTGAGATTGGAGGAAAAAATGCCCTGGCTGCTTGTATTTCTTTTAACCAATCACAATCGTTCTGGGCGGTGCCACAGCAACGGTGCGCTTGCAAAAATATTGCTGGGGGGAAACAGGTTTTGGTGTAACACGCCCACAAATATATCACCTACAGGACGCGAACCATGGCAGAAAAATGGCTACATCGCCGCAAGATCAAACACCGCAAAAGTTAGTAAAGGACGTGTTGAAAACGGTTGAAAACTGCTACACAACCGGAGGTGGTAGGGCGGGACTTCAGCGGGTGGCTTGTTCCGCCCAATGAGAGGCTGATCTATGCAGTGAACTTCCGCCCACTCAGACTAACCCTGTGATAGTCTGGGGGCCTGTCCAGGGTGTACCCTGCCTCTTGCCCAATGTCAGCGGGGATAGGCTCCATCTCCCTGTGACCCCCCACAGGATAAGCGGTTATGGAAAATAAGAGTCATATACTGTGTCTCAAATCGCGTGAAAAATGCAGTGCACTATGAGTACCCTGATGGCGCACTCAAAACAGTCAAGAAGTTGAGTGTGGAACTATGGACTCTTCTCATTAAATATGGCTCATACACCCTCTATGGATGCCATCTTGGCTACGTACCGAAGGAGATGTCTATATTATTTTGTCCAGCCAGTTTATATCAATGTTGCTTCACATTCCCTCTTCCAGATCAGCTTGCCGGAGTGAGGAGAAAATTTGTGGACAAAGTGTCCAGTGTACTGATTAGGAAGCTCCTGGACAACCTTTTAGACGATGGCGTCTTGAATGATGACCAGAAAGAGGAGGAGAACAGCACCACAGCAGACAAGGCACGCTGTCTTATCGACACAGTGAAGAAGAAAGAAGACGAAGCCAGCAGGAAGCTGATTGCTCACATTCACAGCAGAGATTCGACACTGTACTCTGAGCTGGGCCTGTACTGTGTTCAACCTACTCAGCCCGGTGAGCTGAAATATTTCAACCTATTTTGAATCAGACTTGTATTATACTTCAACACAGTCACAATCAATCACAAAAGAAGTACATTGTTTCGAACAGAAATGTTTTGCTATCCCCAGCTGCAGTGCGACTGAGTGAGCAGGAATGGTCGATCACCCTCAACCGTGCCACTGAGTCATTCTGGATGTACAAAGTGAATGATAACAATGTCTGTCATTCAAAAAAATCTCATCAAATATCTCACATGACCTCAAAGGAATACTTAACCCACAAAATTACCATTTGTATATTAATTAATCGTGCCCTGTTACCTTGAATTTGTGAAGAAAACTTTGTTTTCCTAGCATGCCTTCATTGAAAACAGCCAGCATATTTATTAACTGATTGGGCACCACGTTTAACAGCATCAAAACTATTAAAAAATACATCTGGTTACAAATTCTCACACAACTCATGCTGCATAATCCAAGTCTTTTTTATCTAGTCATATGCTCAATACTTCCCAAATATGTGCATATTTATAATAATTATAATAATAAGTCACCCAAGGACACTTTACACAACCAGATAAATGGATGCTTTGATATAGTTGATAAATGTGGTCCCCATTCAATAAATAAATCAATAAGTGAGAGCGATGCTTGGCGTTTCTTCCGCGCGCACGCACCGTTGGCTTCAATGGCAAAACTACTTACGTGCGCGCTCCCGCTGTGTAGCGACAAGATGGCGGTCGCCGCCGGATTAGGTAAATGTAAGAGAGAAATACATCACAATCAGAAGCTTAAAAATCGGCTGAATGAATTTTCATGGTGTCGCTATTAAGTTTCGTAGTGATGTTGTGTGCCTACGGATGCATCCGCTGTGTGGAAAGATGCATGCTAACGCTTAGCAGGAGCTTCTGAAGGGAATGAATAGGAAGCGATGCTACTAGCTAAGCTAACGTAACTTAAGTTAGGTAGAAGGGCAGAAGGATGCATTATGACTGGCGTTTATGGGATTTCATGTGGTGTAATAACCATTTAACACCAGTCATCTGTATATAACATTGTGTAACTAGTAAGCTATCGTGTAATAAAGTAAATTAGCATGGTAATAGTGTGGCGCCGATGCTACTGAACCACAGCACCGCTAACGTTAACCTAACGGTCCGGGTGATGTATTAACGTTAGCTTATTTGCGTTATAAAATTGTACTGTGTCAACGGCTGTGGCACAAACCGTGTATTTACCGTTAAATGTTGTGAAAAGATAATAGTGCATCAGCATTTTGCCTTCGTGCATGTTTAACCTGAGACTGTTTAACGTCAACAATGACGGTACGTTTTTCTGACACTTCCTATAATCAGGAAAACATGATGTATAATGGGTCTGAATGAATGGGCTGTAGAGATGCAGGTGATCTGAGCTAACCTGCTGCACCGTCTGGCAGCGTGACTGTGGTTGTTTGCACGGCTCAGTTAACGGTGCAGCACCGTCGTATCTCACTGCAGAGGCCAAATGATGCAGCATCGTCGGAGCCAGATGCTAAATTTGAGGAAATGAAATAACGTCTACCTTTTATCAGACAGCTCAGGAGAGCCGGTCCACTAAAGGCTTCCTTATTTCCCTGTCACGTTGTGTGTGTCTGGATGACTCATGCCCCCGCGAGCTGCTCATACCTTTATAACTGCAAGTCATTGCTCTGGCACAAACTCGTGTGAATTTACAGCTTTGGTCACCTCGGTGATATCTAGATCTAACTGTGTTGGAGCTGTGCATATGTTAGTATAACAGTCTCAGTTTGGTATGTTTTGCCCACAAACAGGCGTTAAAGTCCCTCGCAATTTCCGGCTCTTGGAAGAGCTGGAGGAAGGCCAGAAAGGTGTGGGAGATGGAACAGTGAGCTGGGGTCTGGAGGATGATGAGGACATGACCTTAACACGGTGGAGAGGGGTGATCCTTGGCCCCCCAAGGGTGAGTGGTGACACTTTTTAACACTTAGGTAACGACTGTGCAATAAGCATTTAAGTGGGTATGATTAGCAGACTGTCATGTTAGTGTGCCAATTAGAGCCTATGTGTAAAGGCAGATGCATGGGGTTTAATGAATGTGCTACATTAGCTGTGACAGTGTATATGAGGTAGCAGCACAATATAACAGCTAATTAAAGGTAAAATATCACATGCTATAATATCAGGAAATGACAGGAAGCAACAGGTGGTACATCATAAAGCACAGTCCCAAGTTAGACATCACAGAAATAATGTCAATTTGAAAAATCTACAGCTAAGTTTTGATTCTTTAGATGCTAAATGTAGGAAAGGCATTCTGTATGCTGGTAAGATACTCTTTGAAATGTCTCAAGCTTTTGTTTTGATATGGTTGACTGCCTTTGGAAGATCATTTACAACAAGTGCAGCTCGATATGCATCCGTAATTTACAGAGCTAGAAGACACCTCAGGGGCGTTTATCAGAGGACTGTTTGGACATTAACGTATGTCTGACTTCAGCTGGCTCAGTAGATTTATGTTCTCACAGAGTTTAAACCAACGAATTTACTGTTCCTTTGGAACTGGGGAAAAAATAGATACATTTTAAAAGATAAACTATGCAGGATTTTCCTATAAAAACAATGTGTAGATCCCTACAGAAGTAACATTCTCGCTCATCACTATGACCCATCAGAAGTGTGTAGCGGTACGTCAATGGGCGTGTACTCCCACAGTGCTCAGGTGAGGTCGGAGCTTTATAAAAAGGCAGTGACTAAATGCCAGGCTGTAAGCAGTAACCATCCAAGAGACACAGCGCTGAAAAAAATGCAAATTCAACGAAGCGAAGCGCCAAACAAGAGTGAATCTGTGGTTGGCTCTTACTTTCACTTTTGGCGGTGAGCATGCTTACTAACAGAAACCGACAATCCTGCTTGGTATACCTTTAACCGTCATGAGAACCATGATTTGGGTGTTTTCTCCCATGGATGGTACAGTTGAATATATTTGACACTGTGTGCTGTTTGTTAATGTTTAGTATGCTGTTCACTCATCCCTCCCTACCCTTCTCTGTCCACAGACAAGCTATGAAAACAGGATGTACAATCTGAAGGTTGAATGTGGGCCAGAATACCCAGAGTCACCACCGTTTGTCAGATTTGTGACAAAGATAAACTTGAATGGCGTGCACACCTCCAGCGGTGTGGTATGTAAATCTTGGAAACCCATTTTTCTTATACTAACACGATTACCTCACTGTTGGCAGTTTTTGAAATGGATAATTCTCTTAATCCTGTTCATGCCACACTGATGGATACATTTGGAGAAATAAGAGCATTTGGCTCATGTATATATTACAATATCAAACAGTACGTGCATGCAGCCATGGTTATTATAATTAACTAAAACCAAACCAAAAATGAATACTAGGTGTCAAAAAACCTTTTAATTAACAAATAAAAACTAGAATTTAGAAAAAAACATTACTGGGTACTTACAAAACCAACTTAAATACAGCAAAAAAGTGCTGCATTTGTACTGTAATACCTATTCTGAATTTCTTAAATCTTGCCCCTGATAATAACCCACCATTTTAAAATTAAAACCCCTAAAACTAATACTGAAACTAATGACTAAACTAAAAATAAACATTTTAAACCACAAAAATAAACTGAAACAAGTAAACCCACTCTGGAAACTAACTGAAACTAAACTGCATTGAAAATTAAAAACAAATGAAATTACTAATGAATGAAAAATAAACTATAATAACTCTGCATACAGCACAAAGCTTGTTAACACATTAGAGTGGCATGATGTGTCATAAAAAGAAAAGGTGCACACAATGAAAGAAAGATTCGTCAGGCCTGCTCTGTAGACTTGTCAGTGCAGATGAGCAAGTTCCTCTTAGAAGTGCACGCTTGAATACTCTGACAGATGATGCAACCGCTGCATTAATTCAGGCACAAGAGACTAAGATGTGGTGTACTGTAGTGTGTTTATTATTCTTGATGAAGGAGCACAGAAAATACCACACATGGCCAACATGATGATGACACATTGGGTGGTGCAGACTGTGCACTTGTTCTTTCATGTCTTTGCAAGTGATTTTACTCCCTTCAGTTGTTCAGATGTGACAATGCCCAACCAGTCATTGTTCTACATTCTCCTAGTCAAATTTGGTTCATTTAAACATACTACAGATCAATGATAATCAAACTGAGGCTTGGACTCAAACAAAAAAAAGCTAATGTTAAAAACTTGTAAATAAAGGAAGTAAAGACCAACCTTTGTGTGTTTCAAATCAATCAGGTGCTATATATGCACTCAGGCAGCCCAATTATTTACAGTATGGGCTCAAGCATTACTTCAATCGGGCACTAAAAAAATGGACAAAGAGCCTGTCTCATGGCATCACTGTCATACATTTAAAAGATACAATCTACTTAGTTTTGGGGGCTTTAATTACTGTTTTGTTGTCATAAATTAGGTTTAAAATGAATCAACAGTCGAGCCCAAAGCGTCGTTCCACATATATACAAAGACAAGATGGTTACAGAGTGACAGGTAGCAAATGGCAACTGTAAAATATATCGTAAATCTAAATTTGGTCAATCAGCTTTCTCCATAAAGGGCTGTCAACTCTAGAACACATTACCAACTGAAATCAGATTACTTTCACATGTACAGTCCTTTACAACAAAGATTAAGTGCTGGATAAAAGCAAATCACAGCTGTGCCCATTTTTACCTTATTATGTAAATTACCAAGGTGTATTGGTGTATGTGTGTTAAGTGTATTGTGTGAAGTTTATTTTATTGTGTTTCCATATTTACAGTGGTTTTATGATACTGAAAGCTGTATAATGTAATTACACTGTAAGGCTCAGGCACACCAAACCAACATCAAAGAACTCATGGTGACGAAGGCTGACTATTGTGTCACTTCCTGTCGCCTGGGTCTCAGCCAACAAGTAGCACATGAACCCACTGCAAAGACTAGAGCCAATGACCACTTAGCACGTATGTTCTGCACCTGAATGAGAGGAAATAACTCAACATAGCAACAGGCGGCTGTAGTATGTGGAAGACTGAAAGGTGGAATTCAAGGCACTAGTAGTTAGCCAGTTAGCATATTGACAACACAACCCAATTGAAATAACAAAGGATATTTACTGTGTGCTAGTGAACAACGAGACAAACAATTATGAACTGTTTCTGCTGAAGAGCTCAGTGCCAAAAACTTAATCTTATCTAATATAACAAGCCTTCTTCGATCTCACACTCTCTTGACTTTAGCCGCCTCTTTACTTTCCTCATTTTTTTTCTCTCCGCCGATAATTCAACATGCTGAATCAGCTAAAAATAAAGCCAAAAGAGGCCGACTAGTGCCAACGGTGCGGTACATACTGCAAAAACTTAGGGGACAGATGCTCACTGATGGCCCGACATTGACCAGCGGCCGACTCTTGGCTTGATGTGTCAGGGCCTGTATGTGTAAAAGCCCAACTAGGAACAATACTTGAAAATTAGCAATAGCTATAAACTCTCTGTGCAGCACATTAGTTTTATGCTCTGCGTTGAAACTCTTAACTTGCATCATCTCTATAAAAGAAGTATATTCAAATTGAAGCCACCTGTGATCTCATGATGTCATAAAATATCTTAAACATCTTACATTTTGGTAATTCAGAAAGGTAGAAGTTAAGACAAGACCACTCTTACCTGTTCTGTGTCCTGCAGGTTGACATGCATGCGGTGACTGCACTGGCCAAGTGGCAGAACTCCTACAGTATCCGGATGGTGCTGCTGGAGCTGCGACGGCTCATGACCTGCAAGGAAAACATGAAGCTTCCTCAGCCACCTGAGGGCCAGATCTACAGCAACTGAGCCCCTGCTACTTTTGCCTCCATCTTTTTCTCCCTTCACCCCCTCAACCCTCCCGACCCCCCCCCCCCCCCCCCCCCCCCCCCCCCCCCCCCCCTTTCCCTCCCCCCCCCCCCCCCCCCCCCCCCCCCCCCCCCCCCCCCCCCCCCCCCCCCCCCCCCCCAAAACTCTTCTGTTTTGCTTTCATCCCTTTATCCCCATCCTCTCCGCCATATGTGACATTCCACCTCCTGCCAACACCTTGACTGAGCACACACACACACAGCAGAAGACCCATACAGCAACAGATACATGAAGGCATACACATATACCTGTGTTCACACACTAAGCAGAAGACTGAAGGATACAATAATTGATAATCGCAAACGTACACACACAGCAGAAGACTCAAGTACACAAACACATGCAAACACACACATATCTGTACACACACTGCAGAAGACTGAAGGATACAATTGATACTTGCAGACGTACATATACACACACACACACATCAGAAGACTGAAGTACACAATCACAAACATTCAAACACACACTTATCTGTACACACACTGCAGAAGACTGAAGTACACAATCACAAATACATGCAAACACACACACATATATCTGTATACACACACTTATTGAGCGTTCATGAAAGTCATTCCAGGCCCCCTCCCCCTCCCATCACTGGAGCTCTGGGTGGACTCGATGTGACGAGGCAGGCGGAGTCCTCAGTCCACACCAGATACGATCATTCGAATACTGTACATGTTACTAATCTTTTTTTATTATTATTTGTTAAAAAATGCAGATTGTACAATAACATAAATAATCTTATTGAGTGTACCTCTTTTTGTGTGTTGCCTTTTTGTAACATTGAAAAACGGCCACTTAACCGCATATAGTTCACTAAACATGCTGTTAGTTATGAGATAATCTTCTTTCAAACCCCAAAAACACATTCGACCTGTATGTACTGTCATGTGGCCAGATGTCCAATGAAATATTCTCACCAGTTGTGTTTGGCTTGCACAGAGTAATTGTTCCCGAGCAGTCCTCTGTTGTAATGACGCATGACTGCAGCTCAGCAAGGTGCCTGGGAGTCATCACCTTCATCACACATGGCTTTTTTTCTTCTCTTCTGTGTAAGAACTGTCCAAAGTGAACATTGTGTATCTATACCACTATATCTGTAGCATAGTATGCAAATCTACTGTAGGTCTGCACAAGTCCCAGTTTTAAACCATGCTTGAAAATAGAAGTGAAATCAGCTACCTCTTTTGGTCCTGTGTAACGTCAGAGGAGTTTATCTGACCTGTGAAACTGTCTTTGCTACTTCATGTGACAATTTGTTTTACTCTCTCCACTTCTTTCATAAATCTTAATTCATGCATTTGTGTCTTTGCAGATCACTACGTCTTAGTCATGATAGTTTATGTGGAGCGTTTCTACATAATGACTTTTCTTCTTTACAGTGTTTGTTTACATAACTGCTGCTCTTAAATGACCCTTCACAGATTCAGCAGAAGCGTGATGCAAGCTCTCTTAGAGACCATTACGTTTGTCTGCTGTCTTGCATAAACAGAATATGAATATACAGTCAGCATGTGTTTAGCTTAGCATAAAAGAATAGAAATAAAGAGCATGGCTCTGTCCATATGTTAAAGAAATAGCCTGTTGTAAACTGTTTAAGTGAACACAGCTAATAAATAGATAGCTGTTGTTGGTACACCATAATTTAGTGTTCAGGTTTGTGTGTAGACAACTTAGAAGATTAATTTTGCCACCTAAATATAATATAGTTAAATGTTCAATACCCCAATCATTCATTATCTGCAGGTAGCATACAGCAGCACTTTTTTTATTCTACAACTACTTCTGACTTAGACTGACAGAGAAGCTGACAGGAGCTGCACACAGGTCTCAACATGGACACAGCTGAGCTGGCAGCTAGCAGCTAACTGTGCTAACTCCAGAAACAGTGCAACAAATCATGGCATCAGTGCTGACAGAGCTAATGGTGTTAACTGGAGGGTGGGTGCTACGCTTCCGTGACGCCACTGTCCAGCCACAGTAGATCAGGACAGCGATACTGGCTGTAACCTCCATATGGACTTAGTCTATAGTGGCAGTAATTAGCCAGCCAGTGGAAGTGACAAGGACTTACATGCACTAACACACACAGGCATGGCCGGACTGTCTACCACACCAACATACAGAGAGGCACCATTAACAACACACCCAGAGGACGTGTGATTTCATTCTCTGCCATAACTTCAGTAAACCTTTAGTAGTTGATTTTTTTGGCCACTTGGGGGCAGAGGAAACAAAATGTAGCCTAAAGTTAAACACAGACTTGTCAGTGTATCTGCACATGCTCCACTATGTTCACCAGCCAGTCTCCAACTGTGTCTCTGCTGTGTGCTGTGCAGTGTACAGTTGGTTTGTTCCAACGTTTTTGGCTAGAAACAGCTACAGCTTACTTTTGTTTGATAAGTACTTTAGGAAAAACGTCTGCATGCAGCACAAAGCAGAGACCTGACAGTGGAAAGAAGAACAAAGAAGTGAAATTTCAGTTGCTGTTTTGCATCAGCGTTTCCAGCAGTGCAGCAGCAGCTGTCATGGTGTTGCTATTTATAGCAGTGGTGGAATATAACTAAGTTTACTCAAGTACAGTGCTCAAACTCATTGTGCGAGGTACTGGTACTTTACCTGTGTGTCTTCATTTTATAATGCTTTGTACTTCTACTGCATTTTGAAAGCCAATATTGCACTACTGTACCACAACTACAGCAAATCATTTTTAAATTGTACAAAACATCCTTTGTTGACCAGATTTCATCCAGTCTATTTTTAAAATAGTTAACTGAATTAGCCTGCACTACATCCTCTGAAGGCTTGTACCATGATTTTACAGCTCAAAGTGTGAACATGTTTTTTCCCTTTCCAGAGAAACAGCTTAGTGGGAATCACTATAAGGAGTTCCCTCTTAAATCATACCTATTATTCCAACTTTGCAGATTTACATTATCAGCTCAATCTTTATCAGCTGCAATATTAAAGGGATGAACACATCCATACATCAATAATAATAACTCAGTAATTTAAAATATTCTGAAATGAACCATTCTGCATAATGAGTACATTCCCTTCTGGCACAAGTATATGTTAACTCTTTTGTTCTTTTACTTAAGTAAAAATTTTGAATGCAGGATTTTTACTTGTGACAGATAATTCTACACTGTGGTATTGCAACTTATACTTACTGTAAAACTTCAATTAATAGTCCAGGCTATTATTTGCTTAAATCACTGAAATCAACAGGCCTATATATGGGACAGGTCTTTAATTCCTTTCACTCAAAACTGTTGCTAAGCAAAGATGGAAAATACAATCAAATTTATGAAAAACCTATTTGATTGTTTTGATCTGAGGACCCTTACGGACTCAAGGATTATGAATAAATTACAGGGTAATCAGGAATAAACACACAATTTGAGGTCGTCAACAACCTGGTTTTATACATCGGAAGAACTTCTATTTAAAAAAAATGAACTGCTTGGCAACCAGACCAGGTGTCTAATTGAGACGGATGTAATTTGTCAAAACTTGCAGCCACATTGTGCTTGTAAAAGGGTCTGGGTGTTTAATTGGGACCAGGCTGTTATATCTCAGTCACTGTTACTAAACCTCAGAAAGATGATCAATGATTAATCAATAGCACTGATACTGAAATGGATTTTGCAAAGTGCTTAATGATTGAGGATAAAACAAAAAGAGCAATCAGTCCACTGATCCTCAAGGTGTTGTAGCAAAATTGGGTCTTTTCCATACGAGGTCACTTTCCACCAAGACTTTGATTTTGAATATATATCTATTTCACATCCAAAGAAATGGATTTTATATTTGAACAGAGGCACTCTGCCCTTTTTCTCATGTGTTTTAACCTAGATTAAAAATTGGTCATGGTGGAGGAGCAGCTGTTGTGGTTTTTACTACCCTGCGACAGATTTTGGTTGTATTAATGTACTGTCTATGTTACATATACACTCACCGGCCATTTTATTAGGTACACCAGCTAATCAGCCAATCACATGGCAGCAACTCAATGCATTTAGGCACGTAGACATGGTCAAGACGACCTGCTGCAGTTCAAACTGAGCATCAGAATGAGGAAGAAAGGCGATTTAAGTGACTTTGAACGTGGCATGGTTTTTGGTGCCAGATGGGCTGGTCTGAGTATCTACTGGGATTTTCACACACAACCATCTCTAGGGTTTACAGAGGATGGTCCCAAAAAGAGAAAATATCCAGTGAGCAGCAGTCCTCTGTGTGAAAATGCCTTGTTGATGCCAGAGGTCAGAGGAGAATGGCCAGACTGGTTCAAGATGATAGAAAGGCAACAGTAACTCAAATAACCACTGGTTACAACCAAGGTCTGCAGAAGACCATCTCTGAACCAACAACACGTCCAACCTTGAAGCAGATGGGCTACAGCAGCAGAAGACCACACCAGGTGCCACTCCTGTCAGCTAACAACAGGAAACTGAGGCTACAGTTCACACAGGCTCACCAAAACTGGACAATAGAAGATTGGAAAAACGTCTGGTTGCCTGGTCTGATGAGTCTGGATTTCTGCTGCCACATTCAGATGGTAGGGTCAGAATTTGGTGCAAACAACATGAAATGCCTTGTATCAACGGTTCAGGCTGCTGGTGGTGTAATGGTGTGGGGGATATTTTCTTGGCACACTTTGGGCCCCTTAGTACCAACTGAGCATGGTTTAAACACCACAGCCTACCTGAGTATTGTTGCTGACAGTGTCCATCCCTTTATGACCACAGTGTACCCATCTTCTGATGGCTACTTCCAGCACCATGCCACAAAGCTCAGATCATCTCAAACTGGCTTCTTGAACATGACAATGAGTTCACTGTACTCCAATGGCCTCCACAGTCACCAGATCTCAATCCAATAGAGCACCTTTGGGATGTGGTGGAACAGGAGATTCACACCATGTGATGCTAACATGTCAATATGGACCACAATCTCTGAGGAATGTTTCTAGCACCTTGTTGAATCTATGACACCAAGAATTAAGGAAGATCTGAAGGCAAAAGAAGTCCAACCTGGTACTAGCTAGGTGTACCTAATAAAGTGTTCTGTGATAGTGTAGTAAATGTGCGTTTTAGGCATTTTATTGTGTGTGTGTGTGTGTTCATTTTCCGTAACTGCTTATCCTGTTAGGGGCTGGAGCCTATCCCAGCTGACATTGGGCAAGAGGTGGAGTACACCCTGGACAGGTTGTCCTTTTAAATTATTTTATAGCCTTCTGACTGCCCATTTGTGAAGCTCTTTTTAATCTGATTCTGATAAATGCAATATGAATTTTATTATATTATTGCAGTGTTAAATGTCACTGACGTGCTGACTTTATAACATGAGCACTCTCCTGTAGATACACCCAACTGAAGTCTTCTTTGAGGTTTACCTAAAGTTGTAAAAGTCCAAAGGCTAGAAAACTGGTTATGTGGTGAAAAAAAACAATGTTTATGTGTATGCCTGAAGCTCAATTAAAGTGACAAGCAGAACTGAGAACAAGTTCGAGCAGCGAGGAAAAGAACAGGTAGACATTAGCACCTGTCTCCCTGACCAGATAATGAGCACAAAAAAACACCGTATCGTGCAAAAGGTTGACAACAATGTTAGATTTCATGACATTTCCACATGTCGCAGGTGTAACTAATAACATTAATAATGAATGCATTCCAGCGAGGTAAGGCTGTTATGGACTCATGTTCATGCTGGTTTACTGTGACATTTACTGGGATACAGAGCCATTGTTATTACTTAAACCTGTGCTTCTCCAGCTATGACAACTCAAAATAATATGAATATATATAGTGGTACATAGGGAAAGGTTTATCTATATTAATAACATTAAACATGACTCCATGTCCCAGACTGAAAGATCTCATACTGCACGAACTGACATGATCTTTTTTCTTTTCTTTTGTTTTTTACAGACATCCATGTTCAGCCGAGGATGAATCCTATGACTTGGTGATTCCACTGACTTTTCCTGTTGCACCACTATGTGGCTTTTAAAGGAAATGTCTCAATAACTATGGGATGGGTTGGCCCAGACCTCTATGTTCCCCTCTGGATGCATTGTACAAGGCCTAGTATTCATTAAATTTACTACAGACATTTTAAGACTTTTTAATGACCCGTGAACGTATGAACTTTGGTGATAGCTTAACTTCTGTATTTGTGCCGTCATCAGATTGAAATTTAAATCAGTCCAACACTTTGTTTAATGATTAAATACCTGCAAAACTAAACACAATCCCACCTGCCTCAGCTGTACTTTGTTTTATGCTAATTAGCAAATTTTAGTAGGCCAACAGGCTAAACTAATATTTTCAACATGCTAAACATTATTTGCTAAACATCAACATGTGAGTGTTGCCACTATGAGCACACTGACATTGACATGTGTCTCACAGTAAAGTGAAGCCTCACAGAGCCACGAGCATGGCCGCAGACTTACAAAATAGGCAGTATAAATAATGGACGTAGCCATGTGACAACACCGACTGGTTTGTGGACTGCTGTTTTAAGGCCTCGAGTTCGGAATTTCAGCTTTGGAGCTGTGGAGGAGCAAGGGATGGATCTGACTCACAGACTGTGGTGACGCCTCGCAGACAGCCTGTCACTCAAGCGGCCCCGCCCTTAAAGATGCCTAACTTCGGGCCTTAATAAAATGTAAACAGGTGAGTTATAAAAGAATTAACCTCCTGTATACCTGTCATGAATTTTGTAATTAGCTCCAGAGACCAAAACTGTTTTTTTGGACCAGGCTGTAAACATGTTTATTTATGCTGTAAAGTTGGGCATTTTAACATGGGGGTCTGTGGGGATTTAATCCGTGTTGGAGCCAGCCTAAAGTGGCCGTGGGATGAACTGCAGTTTATGGCACTTTTGAATTGGCTTCATTACTCAGCCTTGGAGGCTGACCCTTGACTTATGGTCTTGTTTTTTTTTAAAGATATTTTTTGGGGCATTTTTAGCCTTTAATGGACAGCAAAGGGCCACAGGCTGGAGTGGCCGCTGCGGCAACAGCCTTGTACATGGGTCACCTGCTCTACCACTAAGCCACCAATGCCCTGACTCATGGTCTTGTTTAGTTAAATGGGCTTCACTGCACAAGTTGTATAACTTTGTAGTATATTTTTAATAGTGTTGTTTCTTTGTGTTGACATGCTGAGGGACGACAGATGTGAATTAGATTAAAGCTAAAATCTGGTATGGTGTATCAAATGGGTGACGTTTATGTTTTAAAGGTCCAGTGTGTAAGATTTAGGAGGATTTATAAGCATCTAGCGGTGATGAGGACTGCAGATTGTAACCAGCTGAAACTTCGCCTAGTTAAAATTCCTTCAAGGATCATTGTTCAAGAGAGTTTCACCGGGAGCCAAATTATCTGCAGAGGTCTCCTCCTCTTAAAACAAATGGACCAGGTGATTTAAACCAGTAAAACCACTGAATAAAGCAGTTTCACGTTATAAATCAGTCTCTCTCCAACGCTCTTTGGGCCGCTACCCATGCACCTGCTAATGTGTGCTAACATTTTTCTCTTATAACTTCAGATCCAGACATTTAGGAGGTTTTGAACAGGAGCTGAATCATCCAGAGAGGTCTCCTCCTCTCCAAACAAACGGACCAGGTGATTTAAACCAGTAAAAACACTGAATAAAGCAGTTTCACATTGAAAAATAAGTATTTTTCTGACACTGCTCGCCATGGAGGGATTGCTTACCACAGTGGATGAAGCAAAACTCAATGGCCTTACCTAGAACCAGTGTTCGGTTTGTCCATTTTGGGCTACTGTAGAAACACAGCAATGCAACATGGCAATCTCTATAGATAAGGACCCTCTCCATATATTTAGTGTCATTCTAAGGTTACAAAAACACAATGATTCATATTTTTGGGTGATTACACAGTAAAGAAAACATATTTATTGTATTACATTACATTTCTGCCAATACATCCCCATAAATCCTACACACTGGAGCTTTAAACTGTACATGTTACCTTTTAAATAAAAAGAAATAAATGAAGTAAGTATCAACTAACATGACATAAGTTTGAGGTATGTGGTAAACTGTAAGTGCACTCTTTACCTTGTGACACTGTGAAACTGTACTATGAATAGAAATGAAGAAGAGTCTACTTCCCTTTGCAATTGTCTGTTGCACAAGACTGCAAACCTCCCACTGACTGTCTTATGTGTTCAAGATCTAAGCTCTGTGCCTCAGTGTCAGGTCCCACAGGAGGCCAGCAGGGGGCGCTGCAGGCTTACACAGTCAATAACAACTACTACAGCACATTTTATTATCCTGCTGGGGCAGGAAAATGTATGACAGATAAGATGTCATGGGCACGTCAAAGGGCTTCAGCACTGACTTGACCTAATTAAGAGGTGGGTGCAGTGAGGAAAGCTCAGTGAATACAGACACTGCCCTCTGTTATCCATTGGGGCTGATCAACAGCTGGAGTGGACTCTGACCTACCCAGAAGCCCCATGTGATTCTCATCAGTGTGTGCATGTAAGAACAGCCGAAGGAGGCCTGTCGCTAACCTCTATATAAGATGACAGCAAGTCATATCCAACGCCTCCAGGGACTGACGGAACTTGTAAGTACATTTCTGTGTCTTATTTGCTCGTGGGATCAGCAGTGAGTGTTTGGTTGACTCTGTATTTTATTCTAAAACATGAGAATCTTTACAAAGACCACACTCTCCTTCCATTATCTTAAGTGATTCCATTATTTAAAGGCATGACTCTGTTTTTCTCAGAAGCCTTTGAGACACAAAGGCCACCGTGGAAATATCACGTGATCATTTGCACATTTTCTGACTATTTTTGTACATCACCATGAGATCAGTGTGAAAGCCACATGGGTGCCAAGAGACAGCGCGTGCGGGACCATATGGTTTGTCGGATTCCTCCACAACGTGTGAAAGGGGATGTGAAAATTGTATCAGCTGCTTGAGACATGAGTAGCGTACTGTGGGTGTGAACTAAAATGATATTGCTGCTAGTTTCTGTCAGGAGAGACTTGGTTTCCCACCTGCTTTATCTGTGTAGAAAGACTCTTGTCCTTGACTTGCTTTGTTACATTAATGCACATGAGGCTGTAATAGTTTACTGATAATGATGCAGTAACTCAACTGGCCTCAGCTGACATTTGCTCTCATGAATTATCAGGGATATTTATGTTATGTCACCTTATGCTACCTTACAGTCGAACTTCACTACATGTCCGAGGGAAATAATTAAATTTCTACTATGTAACCACATTTATTTGGCATTTTGTTTGTTCTTAGTTGTCCTGGGCAACCTCAGTGGACAATAGGCCTTTTCACATCAGACATGTTGACTTGTCTTCATAGGAAAAGAACATGTGACTTACAACATTAAGGCTCTGTATTCCCAGTAAGTCAACACAGTGTGACAGTGAGCCAGCATACACAATACCAGCTAAATGAAATTCAGCCATCATTGGTTTGATTATTTACACCCGTGCTTTTCCTTCTGTGACAAGTCAAAGTGTGTCCTGTGAAAACGACATGTTGGCTGACAGCAGAGGGTCGTCAGCTGATTCAGCTCAGCTGGGCCCTTGGGCTATATAAACTGGCCCATGCTCAGGCTTCTCCCTTCCCACAGCTGCCATCTATTCTTCATCACTTTCTTTTGCACCTTCAACATCTCCACAGCACACATGCTGTCATGGCGAACAATGCTGAATTCTGCACCCAATAGCTCACTTTAACTCAATTTTACTTTTCATAAGCTAAAAAGAAAATAAGTGTGGGACTCCTGGTCACCTAACATTAAAATAACTGTATTTATATGTGATCAGAGAGCAGGTAAATTGGCAGTTTTAACAGTAGAGCTTTATAGGTAAATAATGTGCAACACAACTCCCCTCTGTCAGGTAACAACCCAGTCGCCAGAAAAAAATGCCTAGGAAAATGCTTTGTTTTGTTGTAAAATACCTGGTTTTGGGGGTGCAATCCCTGCTGGAAAAGCAGAAATGCCTCAGTAAATATTACTGCTTTTCATGGCTCTATGCCCACTGGAAACAAAGCAAGAGGTACCCACATTTGGTGCCTAAAAAGTCGCTGGAAAAACAGCAATGACTCGCCTCACCAAATCACAACTAGTTTGTTGTGTGTTGAACAGTGGTCTGCAGTGGTCATGCCATCAGGATGATATGGAGAAAATCAAATATTGCGATATGTTTGACCAAATACCTTGATACTGATATTGTGACAGCACTGTAGGGTTGACTATTGGTGTGTTCACAAAGCATTTACACAATGAGATTTTTGAGATTAACCATCAGTAATATGGATATAATGATTAAGTGGGTTAAGGCAAATAATAGAACAGCTAGAACAGTCTAGTAAGGTCAGAATATTACATCACATTACTGTATTGTGCCCTTTAAAACCATAAAAAGACACTGGTCATTGGTCAGCGGTCGCAGGTTCGATTCTGGCTTGCAACCCTTTGCTGCATGTCATCCCCCTACTATCTCTCTGTCTCCCCATTCCACACTGTCCTGTCAATTAAAGGCAAAAATCACCAAAAATAATCTTAAAAAAAAAAAAGTATGTGTTTAGTTGCATGGTAATCATACTGGTAGTTTTGGTTTATTTGGAAAATTTTTAAGACCTCTATCTCTGAGATTTCTGCCTTCAATACAATGCATGAGAATATTTGTTTTTGGTCAAAATCTGCCTGCCAAAATTAAAACCAAACTTTTCGGCACGGCAAGATGCCACCCGATGTAAGCGCGGATTAACCCTTTTATTAATCTAATTTACAAGACATTTCTTGAACTGGTAGGGTAGGCCCCGGGGCAGACCCAGAACACGCTGGAGGGATTACATATCTCATCTGGCCTGGGAACACCCCAAGAGGAGCTGGAAAGGGTTGGTGGGGAGAGGGACGTCCAGGGTGCTTTGCTTGGCTTGCCGCCCCCACAACCTGTCCCCGAATAAGCGGATGAAAATGATTGGATGGGTGGATTTCTTTTAAGACCTAATAACTTCTTATTTTGGAATAATACATAACGGCAAAAATTTGTATTCTTGACTTTTTGTTCTAGGTATGACACACAGCAGACGTGGGACCATTTGGGGAGGCAGCTTCTTCAATTTTTTTTCGGACTGACCCGGCTGCACCATGGCTCTGCTCGTGCACATACTAGCCTGTGCCTTTGGCCTGGGCTCTTGGGTGGCAGTAAACGGTCTGTGGGTGGAGCTGCCACTCATCGTCAACGCTCTCCCAGAGGGCTGGGAGCTCCCCTCCTACCTGACAGTCATCATCCAGCTGGCCAATCTGGGACCTCTGCTGGTCACCATCATGCACAAACTGTGCCCGGGTCGTCTTAATGAACGTGTTGTCATTTACTCCATCCTCTCCATCGGCATCCTCTCCTGCATCCTGCTTGTCTTCTTGTGGGACAAGACTACAATCGTGGCCGGGGCGCCACGTAGCACTGCCTTCTTCATCATCACCTTCTTCCTCTCTCTGGTGGACTGCACCTCCTCAGTCACCTTCCTGCCTTTCATGATGCAGCTTCCAGCCAAATACATCACCACATACTTTATTGGAGAAGGGCTCAGTGGTTTCATTCCTGGCATAGTCGCTCTGGCACAAAGTGTGGGCATCTCTAAATGTGTCAACTCGTCTCAGACTGAAGGAAACCACACAGACTCAAACATGTGGTCTTTACATACAGAGTATCTTCCCCCCAACTTCTCCACAGAGGTGTTTTTCATCTTCCTAGCAGCCATGATGTGCATCAGCCTGGCTGCTTTTGTTGCACTGAACAGGCTTCCTCGGACTCTTAAGCTGTCCACTGAAAACCTTGTGCCAGACACTGTGGCATCTGTCAGCTCCGGCCTGGACAACCCTGGAGCAGATACTGATGGAGAGGGTGTAAAATGCCAGGGTGAGGGGGCAGCCCAGAGCACGCTTCTGCTGCCCGGCCCAAAACACTCAGTGTACCAGCTGACCTTCATCTACTTTATGGTGGTGTGGGTTAATGGTGCTACCAACGGCCTGCTGCCCTCTGTGCAGACGTACTCCTGTAAGCCCTACGGAAACCTGGCCTATCACCTCTCTGCTGCTCTGGCATCAGTGGCCAATCCAGTGGCTTGCACCATTGCAATGTTCTTCCAAAACAGGTAAAAATGATTGTTGTGTAGACTGTGATTTTAAATTAAAGGATAGGTTCATAGCAGTCTGACTTAAGTAACAGTCAGATGCCCATATGTGCATTGATTTTACGTGCTGTAATCATTTCTCCTATCAATAAATACTGGCCATTAGAGATACAGATGAAAATAACTTTTTTGCCACACCTGCTGAAACTGCCACGACATACACACAGCACTACATGAGCTCCATTTCAGTGTGCCCGTGCACAGCTTAACACGTTAATGGTGAAGGCCGGGAAAACTGTTTAAATGAAGTGTTATATGTCAGCCAGCAGCAGCAACCATGTAATTCTCAGCTGATTAAACAAACAACAATGTCGGCCTACAGGGCAAAAGCCATGGTAGCTTTCCTAGTCTACAAATAATTGCCTGCATGGACAGTAACGTTCACAATCTGATTTTATGTAGTAGAAGCCTTTCTGTGCGGAGTCTGCAAGTTCTCTCCATGTCAGCGTGGGTTTTCTCCGGGTACTCCAGCTTCCTCCCACAGTCCAAAGACATGCAGGTTAATTGGTGACTCTAAATTGCCCATAGGTGTGAATGTGAGTGTGAATGGTTGTCTGTCTATATGTGTCAGCCCTGTGATAGTCTGGTGACCTGTCCAGGGTGTACTCCACCTCTCGTCCAATGTCAGCTGGGGTAGGCTCCAGCCCCCCCCCACGACTCTCTAGAGAATAAGCGGTTACTGAAAATGAGTGAATGAATGATTTTATGTAAGCCTGAAAGACATTCATCAGTTCTGTGTCTTGTCAATCTCCCCTGACTTGTATATGTTTGTTGGGCCATATGGTCACGGTGACATAAACATCGCTCTTACTGTTGAAATTTAGCGGTGGATCTGGCAAACTGCTGGCTACGATAACTGTCAAGTGTGTAGACTCTACCTACATGACGCACCACAGGTGTACATCAGGGTGGTAATAGTGCAGACACACTGACAGTTGCCTCTAATGGCATGTGCCAGAATCTATCACAGCTTATGGAAACAACCAATCAGAGCTGACCAGCCTGTAACGCAGCTGTCAATCATGTCACTGCTCAATCAAACTGTTAAACTAGGTGGCGCTGATTAAATATGAATAAAGATTCTGTTACTGAATTGCCTATTTCTCACCTCAGATGTTTTCTGAAATATATTTTAGTGTACTGTTTAGCTGTACAATGAGAAATGTTGAAAACAGTCGGACTGAAACAGAGCACAAAAATCCACTGAATTCACAGTCCTCATTCTGTGCAAAAATATAGTATATAGTATATATTAAGTATATATTATTAAGTTTATTTGAAGCTAACAGAGCCAAAGTGAAAGCTGAACTTCCAGGTTCTGCTCCAGAAGTAAGAAAACCTCGTTCAAAATCCCGCTGACATTTATAACGATGCTAATACCTAAAAGAAAGTAGTCAGGTTTTTTTTAAATTATCTAATATTTTTGTGGTGGGAGCCCTTCTGTGCGGAGTTTGCATGTTCTCCCCGTGTCAGCGTGAGTTCTCTCCGGGCACTCCGGCTTCCTCCCGCAGTCCAAAGACATGCAGATTGGGGACTAGGTTAATTGGTAACTCTAAATTGTCCGTAGGTGTGAATGTGAGTGTGAATGGTTGTGTGTCTCTATGTGTCAGCCCTGTGATAGTCTGGCGACCTGTCCAGGGTGTACCCTGCCTCTCGCCCAATGTCAGCTGGGATAGGCTCCAGCCCCCCCGCGATCCTCAAGAGGATGAAGCGGTTAGAAGATGAATGAATGAATGAATGAATGAATGAATGAATATTTTTGTTTATATAACAGCAGAGACTTTGAAAAGAGAGCTTTTTGTCAGTTTTATCGATATGGATGAAACCAAGATATGATGGCCTACATGCTCGCAATGCTGTGCATGTAAATTTTCACAAGTATTTTCTGTGCACACAAATTGTTTTTTAACTTCATTAAAATCATGAAATCAAGGTTTCAGTGTCTAGTAGTAACTGCTGTAGTGGATGCTAATTTGCCTCAGAATATAGAATTAAACCTCAAGAAAACTTCACTTTTCTCAGAAAGGCCGATGAAATAAATCCTGAGTGGCAGGTTGTAATGAGTCACAGAAGCTAGTATGACAAAGACAACTCAAAAGAATGTCCTTGGCACATCGTTTATGTGGGACAATAAAAGTCAATGAAACTCTCCTTTTAAAGAGTGGTTGACTTTTATCTCTAAGTGCATTCCTTAGAAGTTACTGATAACACACCTCTGTTGTTTTTAGGTCACTGGTATTTCTTGGCATAATGACGGCATTAGGGACGGGATTTGGCAGCTATAACATGGCTATGGCAGCTTTGAGTCCATGTCCTCTGCTTCAAGGGTCAGTGCTGGGAGAGATAATCATTGTAAGTAAAACCCAACAATCCTCAGTGGCTTTATCTGGGTAATAACTGTGGCAAAGTTCAACCCCTGCTTTGCTAAAGACCTGAGTATTGAGCAACTCTGCTTACTGACTTAACCAACTCTCATATTTGGGCTGTTTTGTTTTTCAGACAATGATGTTCAACATTTCTCAGATTATCATTCAAATGAGTCAGTTTTGTTCTTGTGCTCTCAACAGGTGCTCTCGTGGCTTTTCTTCACTGGAACTCTGTCATATGTCAAAGTCATGGTGGGTGTCATCCTCAGAGACCGGAGCCACAGCGCCCTGGTCTGGTGCGGAGCCGCAGCACAGATTGGCTCGTTAGTTGGTTCGGTCACAATGTTCCCACTGGTTAACGTCTACCGGCTGTTCAAGTCGGGAGATTTCTGCACCACTAAATGTCCTTTATGACATGGAATCTGAGAACTGCAGCACCAAGGAAGCTGAACGCGCTCTCCGTTAAAGGAATAGTTTGTGCTTATTCAGTGCCTTGCAGAACGTTTGATGAATAGACTGACACCACTCTCATAGCTGTGTCTTATGCTGCAATCCATTGTACTCGGAGCTTGGAAGAAAACGACCTCCGACACAGAAAAGTTCAATGGTACGATCATTCAAGTCATCATCCAAGTTGGAAACGTCAGAGCAATGTGATGTCAGAGCAACATGGCGACACACAGTGAACCAAGCAGAATGAAATTTTCATGATTTACTTTACTACATTTAGTGTTTTATGTAATGTTTGTGTTGTGAAACGTGCTCTAACATTGTAGCTGCCATCTCCATTTCTATTCGGTTGATTTGTGCCTCACAGAAGATCATGAGTAAAACAACCGCATGCTATTGACTGTGGTGGCTCACACTATTACTGCACCTGTTTACACAATTTTGAGCTGTTGTAGGTTATTTCAACTAGCAAAGATAAGCACTTGACTTAGTTTATATGCCTTTTTTTCTTTGCTAATGGCGCTTTGGTAACTGATGTAGGCCCTCTGTAGATGCTTGTGAAGCTCAGAGACCTTACAAACAAACATCAGTTTGCTGCAGGTGTCCATGTTTTCCTGAGGAGATGCACTGGGACACGTTTAGATTGCAAGTCAGGAACACTGACTCCGTATTGTCGACTTCCGACTTGCAATGGATTGCAGCATTAAGTACGGAGCTAGAACTTAGAGTCAATTAGCTTAGCATGAAGACGTGAAGCGGGGGGTAACTGCTACAGTAGCCTAGCTTTGTTAAAAAAAAATCTGCTTACAGCCACCTCCAAAGTTCAATAATTAATCTGTTTCTCTTGTTTAATCCGTGCACAAATCAACAAGTATACATGTTGCAGTTTTAGAGGGAGTTAGTTTGGAGTGTAGTTTTTATATTTTGTTCTTTTTTGCAGATTAAACAAGACAAAACATTTTAATTTGTGAACTTTAGTGGTGCTAGTAACCAGATTTTTAAAAACACATTTTGCTAGAGCCAGGCTAGCTGTTCCTTAAATCCAGTCTCTATGCTAGAAGTCTTCCTTTGTAGTTCTTCTTAGAGTTTATCATCTTTCAGCTTTTTGTTTATAAAAGTGATGTTTTTGCATTTATTTTCTTCCATTTGAAGCTGTGATTTTTACATCATGTTTGCACTTAACTTTATCAATATGTGTGTTTAAAGTCATTTAATACACTATGATGGGAAATACTATTAATCTGTATAAATATAAGTTAAACACTGTGACACAGCTGTCATTCATTCTGATACAGTAGTTTTAGGCTAAAAGGTGCATTGTACCAATCATGAGACTGTCAACTTGTCTGCCCACTAGATGGCGCAAGCACACTTCTATACATTTAAAACCTCTCACTCCACACTCTGTAGTCCTTGAAAATGAAATATATTTATACTGTGCATGTGAAAAAATAAAACAGTTAAAATTTATGTTACACAAGTGAGCTGAACATTTAATGCTGACATTTATACACCTTTCATATGGCGCATTTCTCTTTAAATTTAAACATGCATGCAACTATTAAAAACAGGTTGTTGGTGCATTTTATCACTGTGAATATTACTTTGGACAACACAACATAGTCCTAAATATTAACATTGTAAAGTTTAAATAGTTTAATTCATAATAAATTGTTGTCAGTTTAGACTTTCTTTATTGTATTTAGGTGGACCCAGTGATGGGAGGCAGATTTACTCGGCACATGTACTTGAGTATTTCCATTTTATGTTACTTTACACTTCTACGCCACAACATTTAAGATGGAAATATTGAACTTTTTGCTCCACATACATTTATGTGACAGATAGAATTACTTTGCAGATTAAGATTTTACAGAAAAAAATCTAAAAGCATCAAAACAAGATTAGGAACCCTCCACCTCAACCAGCTACAGCTATAAAAAGCTGCTTACACATTGTTGCATCAGTTTTAAAAGCAAAGTACGACTACGTCAGTCACAGGTTCAGTCACAGACAGAGTTCTTTCACTTTTGATGCTTTCAGCACATTTTGCTGATGATATTTTGGTGGTTCTGAATGCAGGACTTATTCTTGTACTTGCTGTACTGGTACTTGACTTAAAGGTACACTATGCAGGGTTGTCAGTTACTGTTTGCAAGCACATGTCAGCGAAAGTGAAAGTAAAAGCAAACCCCAGATTCATTCTGGTTGGGTGTTTCACCTTGCTATATTTGCGTTTTTCTGGCGCTGTTCCTCTAGGATGCCTGCTGCTGAGTCTGGCACCTGGTCGCTTTCTTTTTATAAAGCCCCGACCTCACCTGAGCGCTGAGGGGATACACGCCCATAAACGTCCTGAACACTGAAAATAAGAAAACTCAGGCAGAGGGCAAAGTCTCTGCAGATAAAAACACTGTAACACACTTGTAGTGGGTCATAAGTGATGACTGGGAAGGATTACTTCTGTATGAGTCTATACATTGTTGTTTAGGAAATTGCTGCATAGTATATCTTTAAAGTAAAGGATCTGAGTAATTCCTCCACCCCTGGGTTTAACTAACATTTTGTCACCACCTGTGAAAATGGACCATTAAATAGTCCAGTGGACAGTTTCACTTTTAATTAAAGTGACCATTATATGCTAATGTTATTGTCCACTTATAGTAATTTATAGCTCACATGATGCATGTAAGTCTTGCAATGCCAGTATTCAAATAGAGTAAAATGCTCTCAGTAGTAAAGCACCACCAGATTAAGAAATCACCAACTAGTCATGGAAATGGTGATAGGAAAGAAAGAGGCAAGATAAACAGCCATGAGAAACCAGACAGATCCTATAATATGTCTGGTCCAAGCCCCCATCATCCCTATCAAAGATGCTGCTGCACATCCTCTGAGGACGATGGAGGGACGCTGGTCATCCATGGGAACCGGAGAGTGGTTTCCCATCAGCAGCTGTTCCTCCTCTCTGCCCCCTTGCCCTTCAGAAGGAGAGCGAGAGGTTCCCTGGCCGGGAGGAGGGCGGGGGGGGGGGGGGCTCTAATTACTGATGCTCAGCGGGGGCCGATGGCTGTTGCTCCTGCCGCTGGTCACTTGGGAGCCTCCCTGACCCCAACACTGAGTAAAAACAAAAAGATAAGGAGAGGAAAATGGGGCCACAATTAGCCCGATGTAGCCTCCAGGGCCCAGGATCAGTGGAGGAGAAGCACAGATGGGACTTTCTCACTTGGATTTGTTGAATCTACATTGCAGCGTGTGTAAGCTGCACAGAAATCACTGCAGTCAGTTGTTGATGCAGATTTGAAGAGTGGGTTTGGAGGAAATCACCTCAAGGAATACATCAGGTTTATTATTTTTGTCTTGAAATTAAAAAAAAAAAAAAAGAGGTGATTATGGTGATTAAACTGCAAGTATTCACCTGAAGACTGCATGTAAATGCTGTCCTCCTGTTGTTACCATGGCATTGAATATGTAATCAAAGGGATTTTCTCTAAGCTTCATTAGCTAAATTCCTTGATTGGCTCAGGGCTTTTGTGTCGAGACAAAACAAAGCAGCAAAGAAAAGTGTATCATTTTCCTGCGAGCGTCAGATGGTCCCATCGCTCCTCCAGCTGGTCAGGAGGGGCTGAGGCCACCTGGATGCTGCGTCCCAGTCCTGTGAGATCCTGCAGTCTCCTCTGCCATGTGAAGACTCCACTTACTACGCCACTGAGAGGTCCATCTGCTCAGGACGACACCTCCCAAACAGCCCCCCACCCACCACCACCAACACTATCACCACTGCTCCCCCACCCACAGCTCCCCTCCCTGCAGCCAGCCACTGTGCCTCTCAGCTAAATGAGCAGCATGTCAAATGGAAGGAGGATTTACCCTTCCTTTAACGGGATAAGAGAATGAATTCACAGCACCATGATGCAATGAATGAATGAACCCACCTGCACTCCTGCTGAATCGACAGATATGTCACCTGTGTCTGACTTTGCGCAATCTTCTCGCTCTGAGGCACGAATGCAGAGCAGCATGTTAACATTTGGTCACACAAAAGGAAGGCAGTAATTTTTTTTTCTTCGTTGTTGACGGAAACAACAAAACGACGCTCAGAAAGTGTGGAAATTTGCTCGGGTGAACCCACAGGCCGACAGATTTTGGCAGCTGATGCTCAGGTGAACAGCTTGTGGGTAAACCAATTGCTGATGCATGCAGACAATTCACAGACAGGCGCAGCTCAGACAGCATCTCACAGCCTCTCTCCCATCAATTTCCACACACACCCCATCTAATAAACGCCGTCCATTTATTTGAGATTGGATGTGACAGCCCTATGTCATTTCACTATAGTGTCTCCGAGCAGACAGCGATGCACACGGGCCCACTCCTCGTTTTCTATCAGCAGGTATTGATGTTGCTTTAATGAAGTGCCTAGCACTCCACCCTAGGAAGAGACAAGTCTGTCAGCATATGTAAATGCTTCCTGCCTGTCATTGTTGTGGAGGGTTCAGCATGGGTCAGCATAGATTCCCCCTCTGGGAACCCTTTGTTCTGGGGCCCGACTGTGCCACATGAGGGGACCAATTACAGAGATGCACAGCAGGACGGGGGTGCTAACTTGTTACCCTGCTGTAGTGAGCTAATTATTACCTCCACACTGTGAGTAGCATGCAGCCGGTGCATCATGGAGGGGTAACAATAGCTAGCTTGTCTGTATACATATAGCTCCTGCACAAATGGCTTCCAGTAAATGAGAATACATTTCATTTCGGTGAATTGGTTTATATCAACGGCACCATTATCACAGTTTGGGAAAAGGTCATCCTAATTTTCGGGTCATAAATAGCTACTGAACTACTTAAATCCCAGCGGAGCTCCTTTGCATTGTCAATGCAAAGGCAATTTACAGGCTACAGACTGCCAACCACATAACCTTGATGTGGTGTCAAGAAATGATTTATGAAAATGCATCCTGTTCTGCCGGTCCCGAGCGAGACCTGGCTGGACCCGGAGTGTTGACACAAAGCCCATATGGCCGAGCAAACACACACACACACTCGCTGAATTATCATTCATATCATAACATCTCAATGGGCTTTTGTTCCCAGTTCCTGATGAGATATTGGCAGTCTGTTTCTCATCAAGGAGCGCAAGAGATCTGCCATGGTTTTCGCCGAGAAACAAAGTGTTTCAGCTGACGTGCAAAATAAAGCTTTACCCTGATGCCAGTGAGCAGAGGTGTAAGTATTTGATGAAAAGTAACGAGCAGGTCGACCTAAATGTGTAATACACCTGAGCATTAAGTACATTATCAAGAGTGTTTTGGAGAGGGAAATAATAAAGGGTATATTTTAGGAGAAAATAGCAAACACACCTCTTGATGCATATAGACGCCCTTCCTTTCTTGCTATTAGCCCCCTCCCCTTACATCCAGCCCATTCATCTCCTTCTCCCCACCCCCCAGTGACCAGTCTCGCCCAGCTGCTAGGGGCTACCAGTCCCCCTCGTGTGTGGGGCCAGTCAAGTGGAAAATGGCTGCTACCGAGAGAGCCCACTTTAGAGAGCCATCATCCTTTGAAGGGGCATGATGGCCTTTGACAGCCACAGTGTTAACATGGAGCCCACACGAACACAGCACTGCTATTATCGTGTTTACTAAAGCAAGAGGAGAGGAGAGGGGATCAAGGGGAGACCCTGTTGGTTGATGTTTGAGTCCAGGGGTAGCGGGGTGCTCGTCTGAGCCACGCCACAGTGGCATTGTGGGGAAACATGACATGGGATCACTCACAGCCAGGTGGAGATTGTGTTTCAACATGTCAGCGGAGCTTTTAGTGAACAGGTGGTGATATGATTTGTTTGTCTTGTGCTTTCTTATCTGGATACAGTCTGATTACTATTCAAACGCCTGTTTCAGTCAGACATACACCGTTTCTAACTTGACAGCAATATAAACGGGTCCCTGTGAATTTCCTGCTGGAATGTTTGTTAATGCAGCGGCTGACAGGAAATAAACAGAGACTGAAGCTGCTCCCCATGGCAACAGACCAGCAATGAAAAAGTATAGACTGAATCACCATGATGTCACACCAACAACAATCACTTCTGGGTAGACAACTGGCCACTGATTTCAATTGTGGTGATGTGTGAAATCAGCAAACTATTTCTGTTGTCATTTACAGCCATAATTGTAACATTTAAAGGTGTACAGTTAAACACGGTGGTCCAGGCTGTCTGACGTTTCTCCTTATTTTATGTACTGTAATGCTTTGCTAGCGTCCGGCAAGGAAGCTAAGCAATGTACTGCTGTGGGGCTGCAGGAAAACAATATTTCTCTGCTTTACCTTGCATGCTAACCAATACAGGCTACGGTAGACCAGCAACTGCCATTTTTTGTATCATCAGAGTACTAAAAGCCTGAAATAAACATCTACACAAAGCATTTAGCAGCAAACCCGGACGTCCGAGCTAGCACAGCCCCTGATGCTAACG